GAGGAAGAGTGAGCAGTTTTCAGATTGAGATCTCAAAGGACATGGGAACAAACATAAGGGAAAATCAGCATCACATAAAAATAAATAATAAAATAAATTGTGTCCATCTACAACTAAACAATAAATATTAGAAAGAAAGAAAGAAAGAAAGGACCTGCCCTTGACTCTTTGGGTACACGCCAGGATTTCCATGTAGAGGAAACTCTACACACGGATCATGAGGTGGGCACGGGCTACATGCCTATGACCCCAGCTCAGCTCCTGCTGGTGGGACTGTGCACTGGAGTCACTTGGAGAATTGACCGTTTTTTATCAAGTTACTCATGTATCTAATCTATGAGCCGGGATTTACACCTCTATGTATTTACAGGAAAATAAAAACATAAGCCCACAAAGACCAGCAGGAGAATGTCCACAGCACATTCTCCTTCATAAAAGCCCCGAGCAACTGAATGCCTGGCAAGGGGAGGAGGGATCAGCAGCTGGGTCTGCTCGGCAACCAGAAGGAATGAAGCACTGTGCCCTCCACAGTGCATGTAAGGGTGCAGGAGAAATAAATTGATTAGAAATGTGTCTGTTACAATGGCCAACTACAAGGCTTCCCAGTAAGATTGGGAAAAGACTAAAATCTTCTAATGAATATTTGGCAGAGCCATAATAATAACCTGGATCTTTTGAGTTACATCACCATATCCAGGGTGTTCAAAAAGGTGAAATTGATCTTTTGGATCCTATCTCTCTAGCTGGTCAAATACTTCAGGAATTAAATGGCTTTAATCCCACAAACATGTTGAAACATCCTACAAGGTATGTTATTGAGATGATATGTTTCCTACTAATTCTTTTTATGTCATAATAGTAGATCATGACATCCTCGGACCAAGAATCCAGGACTGGAAGTTATAACCCCTCAATTGTGTTCATAAATTAAGAAAGGGAGAGATGTCACGAGCCATCCATGGGCTCTGTGTGAGCTATGCGCATTTGAGCATATGAGGGGAGAGGTCTGGCGTGGTGCGCTGATTGGGCTGTGTGACCCAAGTGTGCCTTTCTTTTCACTCTGCCTGTGATCCCACACAGCACCTGTGACTTGCCAAGGTGTCAGTCTGCTGGCCACAAGCCATCACCAAGCAAGACTCCAACTTTCGAAACCCCTTGCCTCTTGTGGGTAGAATACTTTATCAAATGTCTTTTCTCCAATAAATAGGGGGTTCCAGGTGCGCGCTTTTCTTGCTCCTTCCAGCTGCCCAGTGTGGAGCTGACCCTCGGGGTCCCAGAGAAGACCCACCCTTGAAACTTAGGTTTGTTTGTTGCGTAGTTTCTTTGCCATTTTCTTAGTTTGTGGTTGCAGCCAGCTCCTTTGAACCCAGTTCATCTTGTCAGCCAAGCCAGCTGGCGACACCCAGCGGCTCAGGAGGCTGAGACAGGAGGATCACGAGTTCAAAGTCAGTCTCAGCAAAAGCGAGACCCTAAGCAACTCAGTGAGACCCTGTGTCTAAATAAAACATAAAATAGAGCTAGGGATGTGGCTCAGTGATTGAGTGCTCTCGAGTTCAATCCCTGGTACCAGAAAAAAAAAAAGTTGAGTGAAGAAATCGGTGATAGATTAAACAGATACAGATAGACATCAGTTGGACAGATGACACATGGTTGATTGGCAGCAGATGGATATAAAGACAATAGGCAGGTAGGTAGATGGCACAGAGATGATACATAAGATCAGACAAGAATAGCCAGGGAGGGGCTGGGGGTGTGGCTCAAGCGGTAGTGCGCTCGCCTGGCATGCGTGCGTCCCGGGTTCGATCCTTAGCACCACATACAAACAAAGATGTTGTGTCCGCCGAAAACTGAAAAATAAATATTGAAATTCTCTCTCTCTCTCTCTCTCTTTAAAAAAAAAAAAAAGAATAGCCAGGGATGTGGTTCGGGGGTAAATGGGGGTAAAATAGGGGTAAAGCGGGGATGTGACTCACTCCTGGCATGCTTGAAGCATGGGTTCAATCCCTAGCACTGCCCATTTTTTAAAAAATTTTTTTAGTTGTAAATGGACCTTTATTTTTTTTTTATTTGTATGTGGTGCTGAGAATTGAACCCAATGCCTCACACATGCTAGTCAAGTGCTCTACCAGTGAGCCACAACCCCAGCCCCTGCCCATTTTTTTTAAAGCTCATTCAAGATTACACAGGTACCTAGATAGGTGATAGATAACTGATAGTGTATGGACAGATGACGGATAGAAGAAAACCTGAGTACTGCAGGAGGGAATGAGGCACTGCTTAGCAAAAATCCAGACAGCAGTAAGCCCAGGAGAAGCTCCAGAGAAGGAAAGACAGGAGACCACAGAGAAGTGTGAAGCAGAAAGAAACAGAAAACAGAACACAGAACTCCTGAGCAAACAGAAATGATCCAAGTCCAGTAGAGAACTTCAGAGAAAAAACTGTGATATGCTCAGAGAGGTACTTCTACAGAAAGGAAATGAGCTGCTGTGGAACCACCAGAGACCAGGAAGAGACTCTGGGAAATTCAGAATATGAAAAGATAGAATGAAATCCAGTGGAAGGTTTGGTAGAGGGTTTGTAAAAGAAGTCTCCAACAGAACACAGCAACACAAAACAAAAAGGGGTCCACGCCCAGGATGAAGGCTGCAGATCTGGAAAGCCACCGTCCAGCTGACAGGAGTTTTAGAGAACCAGCCAGACAGCTGCAGAGAGGAAGCTACTCGGGCAACAACTGCTAGGGCCCAGAGCCACAGACAGCAACCGCCCGGGGCTGCAGACACTGACCCAGCCCTGCATGCTTCTCTGTGATCTCCAATGAGCCAGGTGTAAGAACAGCTCAAGACCCGGGTGTCTAGCCAGGAAGAGCAGGCCACCCGCAGGGAGCACCAGGGCTGACCCTCCATGTGCCCCAGGAGGCCTACCTCTAGTCACAGCACAGCCCTAGGGGTCAGCTCAGGGGGCAGATGTGTTCAGACTTGCCAAGCCTCTGGTACTGCTGCAGAGGAAGGGGCAAGGTGACAACAGCAAAGAGGCCTGCAAGCCCCCTGGGCGGGCTGTGCTGGAGACACAGCCCTGAGACTTTGCCCAGAGAGCTCAGGAACTGTTCGGACTCCCACTTCGGCAAACGAGGCTGTGGAGGCGCTGCTGCTCTTCTGGGCAGTAAGTGGGAGGGGAGGCCATGCTGCATAAGCCCAGGCCTCAGATTTTGGCTAAGGACATGCTTCATGACCTCCAAGAAGGCGGGCTGAGATATTAGTTTTATATTTGCTGCTGTAAAAAAATCTGTACAAATTTAGTCATTTAAGACTACATCAGGGCTGAGGCTGGGGCTCCGTGGCAGAGCACTTGCTTAGCATGTGTGAGGCACTGGGTTCGATTCTTAGCACCACATAAAAATAAACAAAGGCACGTGTCCATCTACAACTCAAAAAAAAAAAAAAAAAGAGTACATCAATTTACTGTCTTACAGGACTGAAGCGCAGATGTCTGAAACGGGTCTCACTGACTTGAGGTGGCGACGGAGCAAGGCTGCTCCCCCTGAGCTGCAGGGCAGAATGTGGCTCCCCTCTAACCTTCAAAGCCAGCAGCCAGGCTTCTTCCAGCCTGCCTCCCTCCCCTTTCCAAAGGGCTCCTGAGATGATAGGGGCCACTCAGACAAGCAGGACAATTTGTCTTCAGGCCAGCTGACCAGTAACCTCTACTCCATTGGTGACCTTCGACAACATTCCCCACAGAAGGGGACACATTCGCAGACTTTGGGGATCAGGACACAGCTAACTTGGAGCCCATTCTGCCTGCTGCAGATGTCACAATCACACACAGCCCTGGTGGCTGAGGAACAGTCCAGGACACTCTGTGCACACGTGTCCACATGCACTCACTCACACAGGAACACAGGTTTCTGGGCAGTGATGTGGGCCTCCCTCAGTCTGAGCACACTTAAGACATCCCTGCAGCCTCTCTTCCCTGCCCACACAAAGGCGGTAGGAATCCCAGGCCTAGCCCTCGTCCCAAGCCAGTCCCAAGCCACAACGTGTGGTACATGTGCTCCTGTTGACCACGCCTGCACTGGGCCACACAGCTCAGGGACAGGGAGAGGGAGAGGGAGCCAGTAAAACCTCTCCCTCCAGACCCCGGGGTCCAGGCCTAGCCTCTTCCCTCAGACCCAGGGGTCCAGGCCCAGCCTCTTCCCTCAGACCCAGGGGTCCAGGCCCAGCCTCCTCCCTCAGACCCAGGGGTCCAGGGCCAGCCCCCTCCCTCAGTCCCAGGAATCCGAGGCTTCAGCTCTTTTTCCTCCAACACAGGCTCCCTAGCCGCCTTTCCCCTCCCAGGCAAGCTGCGGTTCTTGGGTTCTTCACACAGCAGGGCTTCCCACCCTCCATGTCTGCAAGTCAGGAGCCCTGTGTACTTCCCTCTGGGGCTCTTCTAAAGAGAGGGAGGGAGGGCAGGAACCAAGGAGGAAGAGTTTCACCTCCTGTCTTCCCTTTGCTCGAGGGAATCCCTCTGCTGCCATCTCCTCCACTGCAGATCTGGTCCCCACCCTCCCTGCTAGGGCCCGCTTCCCCCACCCAGCCCTCACTTCCCACTGAGAGCTGTTCACCCTCCTCCTCTGCTGTAGGAGCTCCTTAAACCACACAAGGACGCAACGCATGGTCTCACGTGCACACTGTGGGTGCAGAGGTCACGTCGGGAGGGAGCGCCCACCCGGTCATGCCCTCAGTCGCAGAGGTCACACTGCTGTGGTCACTCCTTCCTGCTCTATCCCATCTCCCGGTCACCTGTGCCCTCCTCACCTCAACTCCTGATACCGTGATTATAGTGGGTTGTGTCCTCTAAGATATGTCCTTCCTGGCTTCCATGCTGTAGCTCCCCTATAACAAGGGGAGGATGGACACCCCCACCTAAGGGCTCCAGGGGGTCCATGGGCACCAGGCTGCCTCTTGGGCTCTTATGGACTGTGATCATCCCTCCCCGACGTGTTCCCAAAATAACAGGGCTGCTCTGTTTCAATTCCCACTTTACTTGGCGACGAGAGGACAGATGGGAGCCGTGGGAAGGGGCAGAAGGTGGGGAGACAGGGGAAGGCAGAATACGGGTCTGGCCGAGAGGCCCAGAGTCCAGAGCCAGAACCCAGGGAAGGAAGCTTGAACCCAGCGGCAGGCTTGGAATGCCAAGAGCACACAGGCGTCTCGAGACAGACAGCACTGCAGCTGCACCCGAGGCTTGGCCGTGAGGGTGTTTCTCAGGCTGGGTCAGTCTCTGGGGGAGGGGAGGGAGGGGACTGGGCATCTGGCTCCTGGTCAGTCGTTCTTGAGCTCTAGGCTCTTGACTGACAGGGTGATGAGCAGCTGGGCTAAGTAGTAGGTGGACATGGTCACGAGGCGGGCATAGGGCAGGGGGTGGACAAAGACATCCCAGGCCAGCATGGCATCAGAAAGCGCGAGGAGCAGAGCGCCCCAGCCAGCACTCCCACCCTGGGCCAGGCCACGCCATAGCATGGCGGACACCACCAGCATGTAGACTGCCACTGGCAGGAACATGTCCGGCTCAAGGTGCAGCAGAAGCAGGCCGTAGTACACCACAGAGGCCAGGATGGTGGGCAGCAGCAAAGGCGGTCATACCTGAGGAGGGAGGTGGGTGCCCAGAGAGCTGTTCACCCTCCTCCTCTGCTGTTCTCAGAACCACCCAAGTCCTTCTGTTCTCCCTTGGCCCCACCCAGGCCTGAGAGGATGGTCCCAGGACCAGCTCCCACCCTGGCCATGCCGTGGCTGCCTGCTGGGATGACAGGGCCACCTCCTCAGTGGCTCCCCAACTTCTCCCTGCCTTGGCTACTCTGTCAGTTCTCAAAGCAGCAGGAGCAACCTTCACTCTTGAATGTAGCCTGGGCTGCATCCTTGCTGTCTCACTGTCCACCACCTCCCCATTCTGCTCTGGAATACAGACACCCTCTGCCCATCACTGCTCTGCTCATCACCCTGGCCCACGTGGACAAAGGGCCTGGTGTGCCACTGCCCCAGGGCCTTTGCACCAGCTAGTTCCTTGCTCAGAACATGTTCCCCAACACATGCATGGGACACCACCTTCGAGAATGCCTACTGGTCACTCCCTCAGTAAAACCTTCTTCAACCACCTTTTTCCTCCACGCCACTTCCGCCTTCTAAGTGCACACTGTCTGACCCCACCCCTCCAAAGCTGCACCCTCCTGTTCCCGTCTGACCCTGTGTGCAGGGGTCCTCGCAGCCTTGCTGCACTGCAGGGTGGCGTCCCCCCAGGGCCCCAGATACAGCATCACCAGGTCCCCACTCACCATGAAGGAAGGCCTCGGGCCAGATGAGGCAGGCGTTCCCCACAGCCGAGCACACCAGGCCTCCCTGGAGAAGCCAGGCGTAGCTCCCGCCAGAGGTCAGGGCCCACGGGTACACCACCAGGGAGAGCACAGGCAGGCTCCTGACCAGGGCGCTGACCCAGGTCGACTGCTCTCAGGAATCCAGAGGAAGTAGATGGAACAGGTGACGATGAAGGGGCTCAGCCATCTGCGGGCCTGTTGGTGCTTCAGAGAGGACAAGCACCGAACTCTCATTCAGCACTCAGTCCAGCTCTAGCCCTCAGAGGGGCCAGGCCTGACCAGGCTGAGACTCAGATCTCCCAGCTTCCCCACTTCACCCCCACCCCAGGCCAGAGCTGTCCCAGCAGGACCTATTCGGGGACCAGGATTTTCTGTCTCCTGGGCAGGCAGAGGACCCCAGGCCCTACCCCAGGCCCTGCCCCAGGCCCTGCCCCAGGCCCGTGCCTCTGCAGGCCCTCACTTGGACTAGGAGCGTCTTCAGGAGCAGCACTTCCTTCCCACTCTCCATGCTGGTACGATGCCAGAGTGGCCTGTACCTGGAAGCTGGTGAGTCAGGATGAGGAGGAAAGAGGTCATGGTCACACATTAACCCAAAGAGCGTCCTGTGGATGCTGGGACTGATAACAGCACCCAGAGAGAAACTGCCCCCCCCTCAGGAGTTGCCCTTGCTTGATGCCCTCTAATAAGGTGCCCATTGGGACCCAAGGGACCCTCCGTCCCCACAGCCCCTGCCCAGCACACAAGAATCTGGCCTGGTTTCTTCTGCCTGGGGGGTGAGGCCCACAAGTGCCCTTCCCATTGTCCTGTGCCCAGCCAATCAGAAGGGGCAGCTCAGGATTCCAATGGAGTGGGCCAGCCGGGGAGGGTGGGAAGGTGGTGGGAAGGGGCCTTCCTGCCCCATTCCCTGCCAAGCACTGGCTGAATGAGGGTGCAGTGAGGATGCTGTCCTTGTCCCAGTGCAGGGGTCACTGCAGCAGTTTGTCAGGATACTTACCCCCTGCATGCAGCGCTCACTCTTCAGCCTTCCCATCTGGAAGATGGGGACTGCCACAGGGACCGCGGGGCTCAGGGAATTGCAGTGTTGGGGGGTGTCATGTGCCTCATTGGAAACCCACTCATCCGTAATGTGGCTCACTGCTTCTCACCAGGGATGAGCGCAGGATTCCAACTTCCCTCCTTCCACCAGCAAGAACCTGAGGCCTCCAGAGCCCAGGGCTCCCAGCTTCCCCAAGTCCCCAGCAGTGCAGGGATGGTGGATCTGGCTGGGAGGCAGACTCAGCAGTGCCCCACCCGAGCCTGCACATGCAGGCCAGGGACACTTCGGGATGTCAAATGCAGATGTGCTGTGAGGGTGTGGATCCGTGTAGATTGGGGACGGGGCAGATTTCCTCCTGGAAATCTCTGCCTCAGCTGGGCATGGGTCACTGCCCCACCCAGGACCATGTCCCACAAGGGTCACAGCCTCAGAGGGGAAGCTGCTCTCCACCCCACATTCCAGAACTCAAGGTCTGACCATCAAGAATCGTAAACAGTCTTCCTTTATTTATATTTGCAATATGAAATAGAAGCTCAGCACGAACACTCGCACACTCACGCCAGGCTGGGGGAGGGGGGACAAGGCCACATGGCAGCAGGGCTGGGACCCCAGGCCCCTGGGCAAGGGGGCCCAGCCAAACTGATTCAGGGCCCCTGGGGATGTTGCCAGGGAGGCCCCACTCCCCAGGGCCAGGCGCCTGGGTGAAAGTGCAGGGTCTGAGCGAAGGCACAGCCCCACTCGGGCCCGACACCCTCGCAGGCTTTCCCCCAAGGTGGACCTGAGCTGAAAGGCTGGATGTGGGCATGGGCACGGGCATCGGCACCGGAACCACAGAACACAGAACTGGGGCACGGCAGCAGCCTCAGGACCCCAGAGCCAGCCCCCACCAGGATAGACAGGGAGGGTGTGCTTCGGAGCCACGGACCCTACGCGGCATCCCAGCTTCTTCTCTCCTTCTCAGTATATATATAATATATAATATATGTCTCTCTTTCTTCCTTCTTTCCACATGACTCTCTATCTTTATTCTAGGAGACAAAGCTCCGTAATTTCTCTTCTCAGTGCAAATGGGGGTGGGTGGGGGCTTGTCTCCCTGGCACCAGCCTCCTGGGAATCCAGAGGAGAGAATGTGAAGAAAGGGGGTGACAGGAGCAGGGGGCATCTTGGGACCCACCCTGCCCCACTGGGGTCCACGGAAAGGACGGAGGATCTGGCCGCCACCACCACCAGGCAGCTACCTGGGAAGAGAGGGAGACATAACATGAGGGTCCAGGAGCCCTGTCCCTCCCACCTGCCCCAGGCTGTGACCACACTCACTGGGAGCCTGGGGAGATGGGCCCTCCAGGGGCAGAGCCGTTGGGCACTGGAGGAGGCTCAAGGGCCTGGGCACTGTCAGAGAAGAGAAGGGACCCAGAGGTCACTGCCTGCCTCCCAGCTTGCCCCACTCCAGTCTCTCCTCCAAGGGAGGCCTTCTCACTGCTCACCTCTGGCCTGGGGGGAGCTCCATGGGCCCTGGGCTCTTCTCCCACTCCGTGGTCTTGGAGGACTGGTGGGCCCCGGAGGCTGGGATGGAGGTAGAGGGGTCTCTGGTGGCACTGTAAACAAGACCAATGAGGCAGTCAGCGGACAGCCTCACTTGTTACCATAATCCACCCTAGACTGCCCATCACTCCTAGAGGGGCCTTACTGAGCATCATGGCCGGACACCAGCTAGATGCTTAGTAGCTTCGTGGATGCCCATGAGGATACAGATGGCAGAATAAAGTGGGACCAAACAGCCCAGGCAGGGGAAGGGGTAGGCAAGCGGTGCCCACTTTGTACCCCACATCAGCTGCACCAGATACCCTGTGCAGGAGGTGCTTCCCACCCACAGAGGTCCTCTGCACATCGGCTTCTGAAGACCCCTTACACCCTCCAGGAAGCCTTTCTCTGCCCCTGGGGCTACAAGGACCCTCAAGCCTACTCCTGCCCTATGCGTATTTACTTAGGAAAAAAAAGCCACAGGGAATGCAAGGAAAGGCTCAGCAACCAGGAGCAGCCCAGAGACAAGACAGCCACACCCATCTCTACAAGAACATGAGGCTGCCCTGCCTCCCAGCAACCCAGACTAACGCCCCTCTACCTGTCCAAGTTGCTGGGGGTGGAGCGCATCCCATGCAGGGTGGCCTGGAGGCCCTCGATGCTAACCAAGGCCTGGCAAGGGGCTGTGAAGGAGACAGAGCAGGTATCAGCTGCTGCCTCACAGCAGCTTCAGACACAGCCAGGCTGAGACCCAGGACCCCAGCGGGCAGGGCACAGGCAGGCTCACCAGAGGACTCTGTCACTTTGCTATCATCTGTGACTTCCTGAGGTGCTGAGGTGGGCGTGGGGTCCTGAGACCTAGGAGGTAAGAGAAGAGCCCGAAGGTGTGGCTGGGGTCAGCACCCAAGCCTAGGGAGAGGACCCAGGAATGTCAGTCTCATGTCCACTTGCCCCACCTGCCCTCACCTGAGCTGCAGGGCACTGAGGGCTGAAGGACTGGTCAGGCTCTGGGTGGGCGGCATGTCAAGGGGCCCCGCAGGTGCTGGAGGCCCAGAGTGTAGCTCCTCCTCCCCGGAGACTTGGGGGTCCATTGGGGCATCCATAGGCACTGGGTCAAAGGTGGCGGTCCAGCTTGGGCCTGGGGCAGGGGCCAGGGAATGGAGACAAAGGTGAGCTAGCAGCACACACCCCATGTGTACCCGATCACCCACCACCTAACACTCACCAGGAGGCAGAGAGCCAGCTGTGGGGTAGGAAGTGGGGTCAACCCGAACACGGGCTGCCCTGCCATCAGCCTCCTCCTCGTCTTCCTCCTCTTCCTCCTCGTCCTCACTGTCTGTGCTGCCTCCACTCCTGCCCCCGACACCATTTCATCAGGTGGCCATGCAGGGACAGCCCACTGACCCACTTCCCCCACTGCAGCCCAGGGCCACAGGGTAGACAGATGTTGACAAAAGAAAACAGGCAGAGGAGGACTTTGGGAAGCCACTGACAAGGAGGTCCTAGAGCCTAGGGACAGGGATTCCTGCATGTGCTGAACAGAGCAGTAAAGACGGTCATCCCCATCTGTCCTCCAAGGCAGGACAGACATCCAGGAAATACAGACTCAGACACAGAAGAAGGTCACACAGACAGATGCCAGCTCCTGAGTGCCCACTGGACATCACCAGCATCATCATCCCCTAGCAGGCCTCCCCACCCAGAGCCTCCAGTCAATAGAAGGGTCCACCCTCTTCCTCTACTGGCCCCAGGCACATTAGACACAGGATGTTCAACCTGCACCAGAGTCACATAGTGGTCTACAGCAGGACATCAAGGTCAGTGGCCAGCAGAGGGTACCCCAGGAAATGAAAGGCCCAGCTCCCAGATCAGGTACTGACAAAGGGGAGTCCATGTAGCTGTACTCTTGGGGTGCTACACTTATCTATATGCATGACACATATATCGTTAAAAAGGTAACATCATTAAAAAGGTGTGGTAGCACCTGGAAGGTGAGGGAGGCTGAGCAGGGAGACACCAAGTACAAGGCCAACCAGGGCAACTTAGGGAAACCCTGTCTCAAATGAAAAGGACTAGGAGTGTGTCTCAATGGTAGCATGCCCCTGGGTTCAAGCCCCATTACTACCAAAAAAAAAAAGTTAATATAAAACACACTAATCTGCAAATCAAGTCATCAGGCAGCCCACAGAGTCACAGCCCATTGACCTGGTGTTCATGCTGGCAAAATATACACAGCATGAATCCATTTAATCAAAGAACAAAAAATTAACACAATATTCACACAAGGCTGATCACAACCTAATTCCAGCTTTGTGGAATTAGGAAAAAGGGACCCTTTACCCCTGTACGGGAAACGTGCCTAAGAGCTCATATGGGAGCAGCCATGTGATGGAGGGAGGACTCATCTGCACTCCTAGTCTGTCCTTTTCCTTCTGTAGCTCAACTCATTTGGTCTGGGTTTCTATCACTCAAAATTCAAAGTGCCCCAACTAGTACACACACTACTACTCCTTCCTGAGTTCTCACTCAGCCAGGAACTCACCGGACTCCAGGGGGTTGGCCCAAGCGGGCTGTCCTCACCAGCTGGCTGCCCTGCCAAGCACCATACTCTCCATCCGACTCCCCAGAACCCGGGCCCTCCTCCTCATCCTCTTCCTCCTCCTCCTCATCATCAAACTGCTGGATGCGGTCCTTATAGCATATCTCGAGCAAGTTGGCATTGGGCTAGAGGTACAGGGTGGGAAGATGACTCCTCTGCCCACAGTGCCCTCACATCCCTCCACCCCACTGTCCAGGACAGGCAAGCACTCACGTTCTCGTCATCCGCATGGAGGGAGAAGGTGATGTTGGCTGTCTTGTCAAAAGGCGCGCTAGGAAAGGAGGCAGGGGTGGGTGAGAGGGCACCTTGGGGTCCACGTTCCCTTCACTCACTGAAGTGGTGAGCCCACCCCCACCACTCCGACTCCCGTCTGCTCCCCAAAGACCTGCAGCACGTGACAGTCAGCTGAGAGAGTGGGGACAAACCAAGCCACCTGACACATACACATTCCCGGCAGGTCCATAAGCCATGCTGGGCCATCACCAGCCCTGTGCCACATGTTGCTCACATACTGGTCATAGCCACCCTACAAGGGAGTGTCCCGATCTCCTCTCAAAGCACAAGGCAACAAGCTAAGGCACACAGCGGGCCCAGAGTGGGGCAGCCCAGATGTCCACTCTGCACCGGCCACCTCTTAGCTGATCTGACATCTCCTGCAACAGGAACCCTGCAGGGTAGCATATTCATCCCCCAAATTCTGTATCCATTCATTTTCCCCCCTAGAACACTTTGTGGGTTTGTTCTTCACTTTTTTCATGTAATTCATCTTGGTAGAGGAGAAGGTAACAGCTTTGTTGCCCTTTATTTACTTTTTTTTTTTTTTGAGAAAGGGTATGAGGTGCCCAGGTTGGCCTCGGACTTGAGATCCTCCTGCCTCAGCCTCCTAGGTCATAGGGATTAAGGTGTGCACCAGAATGCCTGGCTCATAGCTTCGTCTCACAGGGAAGCTGGTCATTCAATGTCATCCACTGTGTAGTCAGTCCATCCTCCCACCACGGTGGAGTCAGATCTGTACTTGGGTGTTTTTCCCAGGGGTCTCAGCACAGGCCTCTGATCAATAAGACCAATAAGCACAACACACAGCCCAGGTCCTGGGCGGAGAAGCAGCAAACAGGATCTCATAGCCACATCTAAGGCCATACAGGGCCACAGCTGAGTGGAGCCTATCAAGGTGCCCCTCACACAGTGCTGCACAGGGGCCCTAGGGTGGCTGCTACAATCCCCTCCCATACTCTCCAGCTATGTTCTGGGGCCTTGGTCCCCTGGCTATCCATGGGCTCAGAAGCCCTGCTCAAAGGCAACTGCGGGTGTTATCCCAAAATGGGTCGACATCCACAAGGCTTCCAGAGCACCGTCAGTGGTGATGGCGATGCTGACCCAGCCTCCCTCATGCCACCCCTCTCCATCTGCACCCCATGTATGACAGCAGGGAGCCTCTTGTCCTGCCCTCTGGGGCAGCGCCCTTCTAGTTTTCCCAGTGTTGTGGTGAACTCGCTCTTCATAAACTTCTCACTGAGACAAGGCATCAGCCTCCGTGCTGGCCCAGGGGTGGGGACCTCACCTGCTGACCTTCAGCACGGGGAGGGGAGACTGCAGAGCCTCAGTCTAATAGGAGATGCGGTGGCCAGAGGCTGGGAGGACGCACACTGTGCGTGTGTGCTGCCAAGACAGGACGGCGCTGGGCCTCTCCTCACCCACACAGAGGAACGGCACCCACCACCCTGAGGTGAGGCCTGCCCCACCCTCACAGATACACTTACTTCACACTCTCCTCCTGCTCCCCAAATTCCTCATCATTGAAGCCAAAGTGGTCGATGAAGGCCGAGGTCATGCGCTGCATCTGGAAGTCCATGAAGGCCTGTGGGGGCATGGAGGCGGGGCTGGAGGGAAGCTGAGCAGGGAGAGCCCCGCCCCGTTCCTGCGGCACAGCCCTAGGCCCACCTGCTGCAGCACAGCCTCCTCGGGGAAGTTGAACTCCTTGAGCCGGTCGTCCTCGTCGTCACTGGAGGAGTGCAGATGGCGGGTGTTCACCTGGCCAGGACAGGAACAGCGGTCAAGGGCCAAGGGTCCAGAGAGAGGGAAGCACATTCCTGCCACAAACCTGGGCCTCACCAGGTCCACAGTGTTCCTCTTGTTGGTCTCTGCCAGAGGTCCTGACACAAACGCCTCCCACCGCTCCCGCTGTTCACCTGGCAGTTCTAGACACATGGGACGGGAGGAGATGGACGGAAGGACGTGAGCAGCCACTCACTCCAGCACCCTCCCGCCCCACCGGCTGTCCTGGCCAGCCCGCCTCACCCTTCAGCAGCTGCCCCAGCTGCTCGGCATTGGGCCCCTGCTCTGCATTCTGCACCAGTGCGTTGGCCACCCGTGTCAGGTGGCCCATGTAGCCTTTCCTTGGGCCCCCCCCAGACCTGGATGAGAGCAGAGGACACAGCTGGAGGGTGGGGTGGATGCCAGGGCTGCCGAGCCCGGGGCCTGTCCTCCCCTGCCCCATCCACCCTGCAGGGCAGCAGGAGCTCACTGTACACGGTCGTTTTCCTCCCAGGAGGTCAAGATGCGCTCCACCAGGCGGCAGTGTTGCAGCAGCTGTGAGCAGTGGGGATACGGAGCAGTCAGGGTGGAGTCTTCAGCAAGCACACTCCACCAGGCCCCAGGCTCGCATCAGACTGTGAGGGACACAGGGACAGAGGCAGGCCCTGCCTCCTCGGCCTGCCATCCTCTGGCTTTCTCCACGGAGCACAAGACACACATGCACACACTTGTGGACATGCACATACCCTCAGCCAACCTGGTCATAGGCCTGCCAAGCAGCCTACCCTTGATGACTGCTGCAGCCGGGCACTCACAAACAGGCCGAAGAAGGGACGGGGCAGGCCTCTGAGCGTGCACCCTTAGGGATAGGCCCCCAGAGAGAGGGAAGCAGGGACCCCGACTCACATGTTTCACCACAGGGTTTGGAGCAGGTGTCTCAGAGCTGCTGTCAGGAGGGGCCCCCGAGCTCAGCATGGCGCTCACACACACCTCCACTTGAGCATGCAGGAAGTTGTTGAAGACATAGTGGAAGAAGAGGTCCTGGGGGGGGGGGCGCACATGCTGGCACCAGAGATGTGTGACCTGCGACCTGGCACTCCCCTGCCCCTAGCCCCCAACCCCCTGGCTCCTGTACCAGCATGGTGTTAGGCACATCCAGCAACAGGAGCTCCTGTGTCAGGGCAGCATCATTGGCACTCAGGGCGCTGGCCAGGAGCTTGACTACATGCAAACGTGTGTTGCCCAGTGGTGGGGCCAGGCTTCCCCATGTCATCCGCAGTGGCTCCAGCTGCAGGAGCAAGAGGGCACTCAGATCCTGAAGGCCACCTTCCCTGCCATCCCATCACCCCTGGAGACACGAAAACCCTCACATCCCCCACCTCGGGAGGCTCAAGTAGGAGCTGGTGGAAGCAGCTGAGTCGCGGGCGCAGGGCGTGCAAGGCACCCACACTGGATGCCATGCTGTCCAGGGCACCCTGGGCCAGGAGCTCTAGCTGGCCATCCACACTGCTGAAGAAGTTGTTCATGGTCACAGCATCCGACCTGCAGCAGGGGCAGGATCAAGAGCAGAGTGAGCCAGAGGAGCCTGTGCACTCTACACAGGAGAGGGCTCAAGTTCCATGTCTGGGAAGGGAGCCAGCCATCATGTGCCCCAGAGGTTGCTCGTCTGGAGCCCTCCTGACGGGCTGGAGAAGATTGTGAGCCCCAGTACAGCCACAGTGTCCACAGTTCACTGGGCACAAGTAAGGGGAAGTGGATGAGGCAGAGCATGGCAGGTGGAGTATAAGCCCCAAGGCAGCCTGAGGACTGGGTCTAGGCAGACAGCCATTGAAAACTGCCCCTCCCACCAACCAGCTTTGAACAGTGAGCCCGGCCTCAGTTCCTCCTCCTCTTTTTTTTTTTTAATGTGGAGCTGGGGATTGAACCCAGGCCTTGTGCATGCAAGGCAAGCACCCTACCAACTGAGCTACATCCCCAGCCCAGTTTCCTCCTTCTTAATGAAATAAGATGTGGCACATCAAACTGGCATACAGGAACACAACCAGCCACTAAGCCGTGGGGCAGCCGGGCGCTGCTGCTTCGCCCCACAGACAACAAAGCGTGCCATCTCTGGCCAGCACCTTCACCTTGGCCTCCTGGGCTCCAAAAGGGTCAGCAGCACCTGGATCCCACTGACAATGACTGACTGGTTCTGCTCTCCCTCAAACATGTTGCTCAGGAGCTGCTCGATGGTCTCCTGCCTGGGAAGCAGGAGTAGGTCAGAGTGAAGGCCCAGGGCAGGGACCCAAGATGGCTCCCCTCCCTGGGCTTCAACTCCCATTCTGCAAACCCACTTCTCCAGGGTGGCCAACAGCTGGTCAGGCTCCGGGCTGTCCTGGCCTTGGATCATCAGGTCCCGGCTCAGGCGGATGATGTCGCACAGGGACTGGGACGCGTTGGAATGTTGCTGGGGAGGGGGAAATGAGTGAGGACCCTACATAAGCTGACCATCTGTGGCCTCTAGCCACTTTGGGGTAGAGAAGGTCACACAGACACAGGGAAATATGCTACAAAAGGAGGGAACAAAGAAGTACCAAATGCTTCCAGAAAAGACACACACACACACACACACACTCTCTCTCTCATACACACACACACACACACACACAAACCACTGCTCACAACACCAGATGCCCAAAAGCTGGTGGAGGGAAAGCAGATTATGACCTCTCTACACCATGGAGTATTACTATGCCACCAAAAGAAATGAGGCATTGACCCATGCTACAACAAGGATGATGCTTGTGTGTGATGCTGGGACAGAAACAGGGCCTGTAAAGGTGCTCTGCCACTGAGCCACACCCCAGCCTGAGGATGGTCCTGAAAACACTGTCAAGGGACAGAAGCCAGACACAGAATATCATCTAGTATGAGATTCCATTTTTATTAAACATGACAGAATGTAGCTCAGTGGTAGAGCACTTGCCTAGCATGTGTGAGGCCATGGGTTCAATCTCTAGTACTAAACAAACAAATAAAAAAGACAAAACCCCAAATTGTTTGTATAAAATGTGCAGAAAGGGCTTGGTTGCCAGGAAGAGGGACAGGCGAGATTGGGAAAGTGCTAATGGCCACAGGGTTTCGAGTATGAAAAATACTCTTTGAGTTACCCACAATACTGTGGATGTACTAGAACCCACTGAACTATAACCTTAAATTGGTATAATATACAACATGCCATTTATATCTCAGTAAAGCTGTTAAGAAAGGAGAGCGCCGGGGGTGGTGGCACACGCCTATAATCCCAGCAACTTGGGAGGCATAGACAGAAAGATCACAAGTTCAAAGTCAGCCTCAGCAAACAAGCAAGACCTTGCTTCAAAATAAAAAGGGCTGGAGAGGTGGCTCAGTGGTTAATGGCCCCTGGGTTCAAAATAAAAGGGGGTTAAGCAGGGAGTGAAACACAAGCAGAGCATTGGGTCTAACCGAGCAGGCAGGCAGCCACAGCTCAGTCTTGTGCCCCTGTCCCTCGAGGACACCAGGGCTATACCTCCAGGCCCTCATGAACCCTCCACAGCCCACAGCCTGTGTGAACCTTATGCTGTGCTCCCTTTCTCAAGGGGCAGGACCTGACGTAAGAGGCCTGAAGAACACCAGGGCACTCACATTGTCATCCTTGGATGGGTGGATCTGCTCGATCAGCCGCTGGACAATCTTCTCCTCATTGAGCCACTGAGGGTGAGAAGCCGGGGCTGCTTTAGGTTCCCTGGGTTTTTTGTTTTTGTTTTTTTTTTTTTACTGGGGATTGAACCCAGGTCCTCCTCACCTCCTATGTCCTCCCCAGGCCTCCCTGAGAACTGCCTAAGGCCACCCCTGAGCTACAACCCCAGCCTTTTTGTTTTTGTTGTTTTAGAGACGGGGTCTCGCCAAACTGAGGAATCTGGCCTCACAGTGTCCACCACAGTGTCACCACTGCATCTGGATGATTTCTAACCCTGACTGAGTGGGGCCCTCCTCACATTGAAGACATCCTGCCGCAGCTGGGGCCGCTCCACACAGGTAAGCAGGCGCAAGAGGAGGTCCATGATGGCCGAGGTGCCAATGTGCCGCAACAGCAGGTCCACGAAGTCATCCTTCTTGCGTAGGAAGGACACGAGCTGGAGGCACAGGGCCACGTCATGTCCCAGGGTCCTTGATCCCAAGCAACCCCCCAACCCCAGTGTGGAAGGGAAGCAGGCACCTGGTCTGTCTTGCGGTTGATGAGGATGCCCATGACCTTGCTAAAAAAGCTGGCGAGCAGCGGGTTAAGGCTGTCACTGCTCTGCAGGAAGCCATAGAGCCGGCTCAGGAGGGACTCATCTGCACCCAGGGCATCGTTGATCTGGGGCACGTCCGAGGTCAGAATCTCGCAGGCCACACTGGGGTACCTAGGAGACAAGCATGGGAATTAGGGGAACTCAGAGAACGTTGGGCTCATGAGTCCAGGAAAGGGAAGCAAAAGGAACACTTTTAAGATCCTCCTCACTGCCCACGTCCTCCCCAGGCCTTTCTAAGAACTGCGGAGGCTCTCCAACACCCCAAGAAAACATCTGACCTGAGTATGGTTCTGAAGCCCCTTCACTTCCTTACCCTGCCACCACCACCAACTCCATTCCTCCCAAGGACACACAAGCAGCCCATACACTGTCCCAGTCAAGGCTGGCTCCCTCTAGGTCACCACCTGAGTGTCCCTCCTGGCCCCTGACCCAGGCAACTTTTCTGAACCTCTAACCCCATCTCCTGCTTCGCTTCTTCAGACACATGCACAGTGCTGGGCAGCTCCAGGAAAAGAGCTATTCTGCCCAGGCTACCACCCAAAGCCCCTGGAGACCACAATCTGCTCTGGTCTAATCCATAAATTGTGGAGGATATCACAGGTGCCCCTCCCCTGGAGAGCAGACTCCCTGGGAAGGGGCAGGCACCCTGGGCCAAGCAAGGTGCAAGTGTGGAGATGGAGGCTGCTGTACACCGGTGGAGTATAGGTGAACAGAGGCCCTTGGAGAGAGAAGCCAGAGCAAAGAAAAAAGAGAAGGCACACATGTGGGGTGTGTATGTGTGTGTGCGGCAGCTGACAGACATCAGGGAGCGAGAGGGACACTCTGCTGGCACGCCAGAGGTGCTATCAGCAGCAGCAGCAGGGGACCCACCAGGCCTCAAGCTCCGAGTCTGGTGCCCTTGTCGGCTCTGCTTTACCAAGTCCCCACTACAAAAGGCCAACGGAGCAGCAGCCCTCATCCCCTCTGTCTGGCTCAGGACTCCAAACTGAAAACTTAAGAGTGAGGCAGAGAGTGGCACCAGTGGACTAGGAGCAGGGACAAGAAGGGTACAGACATGGAAGCCATTGGGAGAAGTGTGCAAGGGCCCAGGAAGGGCAATATGAGGGCGAATGCAGCCCAAACCCCTGACAGGGCCTGCTGCCCGGTCCTGCCTCCCTCCCTACAGAGGTTGTGGGCGCCTCCACCCACAGCACTCTGCATGCCACGGAGTACACTGCACCAAGGACAGAAGCCAGCTGCTGCCCTCTCAAGTAAGACAACAGAGTCACAGGTGTTAAAGATGTGATCCAGAACCAGGGGATTTGCTTTAACCCCCCAGGGAGCCCTCTAGAGGTTTAAAGCACGTGGGTCCAAATCACATAAGCCAAGGCCCATCAAGTAGACCTCAACAACAACAAAGACACTCATCTTTCCCACTGCAGCCTGAGTCTCCAGAGAATCACCCTGAGGGAAAAAGCCCAACATGTCACCTATCAGATGATGCACTTGATCATACTTTCCAAATGACAAAACTCCATAAATGGGGCTGAGATATGGCTCAGTGGTAAAGCATTTGCCTAACATGCAGAAGGCCCTGGACTTGACCCTCAGCACGCGCCCCCCCCCCCTCCAAAAAAATTGTTAAGTAGAGACAACTAGTGGTTGCCAAGGGTCAGGGACAGGATAGGAGAAAGTGGGTGTGGTTATAAATGGGCATATGAGGGGTCCTTGTGGTGACAGAAGTGTTCAGGATGTGGTACAGACACACAAACCTATAGGATGATAAGCTTAGTACCTGTGCACACGAGTAGGCACAAGTAAATCCAGGGAACCTCATTTCAACAGGTGGGAATACAGCATCCTTGTGACCATCCCAGCTGTGATACCACTAGGGGCAATGTGGCAATAGGTACTCAGGAATTCTCTATCATTTCTACAACTGTATTTCATTCTACAATTACCCCAATAAAGATCTAAGCTGGAAAAAAAGATCAGGAAAAAAAGTAGGCACTGGGTAAATGAAATATTGGCAAAACAGCACTTCTTGTCAGGGCTGGGTGAAGTGGGACTTACTCATTCCACCAGGCCCTGCATTATGGGTAGGTCTGGAAAATCCCACCATATAAAGCAATCTGCAGCAGGGCAGAGTCTGCACCCAGGTGAACTGTGTGACCCTGGGAGGGACCCAGCCCTCTCTGCCTCAGTTCCTTATCTCCAAACCCAAGTTACTGAATGTTGGGGTGGTGTGGGGGACTTACTTGTAGCGCAGCCTCTCCTCACCACTGGCTGGTGGCTCCTGGGTGACCCAGGACACCATGGCCTGCAGGTGTGGTGGCTGCAGCAAGAAGTCCAGCAGCTTGCGGTTGACGACCTTGCACTCCTGCAACACGTCCTCCTCATCCAGCAGCTCGGACAGGCTCAGGTCCTCCCGCTCCAGCAGTGTATCCAGGTGCGAGCTTGTGTGCAGGTCAAACTTCCAAAACATGGCGCCCTGTGGGCAACAGGACACAATCTGCATGTTACGGTCCCAGCCAAGGTAGTCGCCAGCCATACTGGCCAAGTGCCCCCTTCCTGACTGCAGACCCAGGTCTGCATCCTCAGGTGGAACCTGTCCCCAGGGATGTGCCCCAGCTCAGCCTTCCCATCGCACAAGCTGGACACTCCCAGTGAGCATCAGGCTCTGCCAGTGACCCTCCATCCCACCATTTCCAGCAGGCCAGTCATTTCCCCTACATTCCACAGGGTCATTTCACATCCAAGGCCCACCGCCCCATCCACCCTCAGCCCTAGGCCTGGTGAAGTGCTCTATGCAGACCACACAAGACCAGCAAGGAGAGGCCAGACACTGCAGAGTGACTTCAGTTCCTCTCCCCACAAGTGTTCACTGTCTACATATCTAGGCAGGGACACCCTAAGGACATGACTTGAAATTCTGGCTTCAGACTCACTTCTATCTATCTGCTGAACAAATTCAAATGCCCCATGACCTCTAGTACACAGCTGATGCCCAGCCCAGCAAATCACCCAAGGCTGCCTGCGAGGTGCGGGCGGTGGCAAGGAGCGAGGAGGAAGTCTGCTCATCTGGAGGCTGTGGCTGTTGCTTGGACACCACACACACAAACACACCCCAACCATCTCCTCACCACCCCTCATGAAGGCCTGGGACAGGGAAGGGGAAAGTTGCCGGGTGGGGCTGGGAGGCTCCCAAAATAGACACTGCCCAGTGCCCAAATGAACCCAGGACAGGATGAACCCAGCTTCAGAGGGATAATGAGCTACCAACACCTAGCTCCTCACCACCCAGGGCACAGGTAACTAACAGGCAACGAGAGCAACTCACCAGAGGCAAGGCAGTTCTGTTCTGAGCCACTGACATTAACTGACACATGGCTCCTCATAAGGACCTCTTAGGCTCCAGAGCCTGTGGGAGGCAGAGCCAACCTGTGCTCCCGGTCACTGGTTCATCAGCATACACCGCACACAACATCCAGACCACAACCACCCCACAGAGGCTGCCAATACCTCATCACACAGGATTGGAGGAACCAAGGCCCAGGTACATGGATGGCTTCCTGGACCCTGCAGACCATCTGGCCCTAAAGACAGCATCTACGGAGCTCCTGCCACAGGCAAGGCACCAACCACATTTCCTGCTCCTTACCTCCCTCTTCCGAGCCTCACAATCATGGAAGCAGAGGCCACTGTTGCCACAGGCCACCATTGGAGGCAGGATACCTCCTCCTAGGCAAACAGATGCTGGTGCCTCTCTAACAATGCCTTCTGCACTCTCTCTCTGCCCAACCCTTCCTTCTGAGTTCTCTACATAGCCCTCCACTATATCCCTAAACCCTCTGACCTGCAACCTGAGTGACTGTAAATGTGAGGTAGGGGACCAGGAAGAAGATGGAGCCCCATGGCAGAGCAGGACAGCTGCAGCCGACTCCCTTACCTCCTTGCTATCTGCCCACTCCAACAAGGGGACCACCCTAGGCTCAGTACAGGAGGCATGGCTGGGATGTACCCTGGGGAACTGACAATCCTGATGCGATATGCTGTCAGTTCCTACACCCAGGCCTACGAAGGTGGAATAAAGGAAAGGGTTGTGATCGGTGGCAGCCATTATGGAAAGGTGGGGGCAGGAAGAGGCAGAAGCAGGCTCCAAGACTGCCACAGAGCAGGGGCAACTGAAGAGCCCCACTCCTCTAAGGCCTCCAGGTCCTAGTCCACAACTCACTGGGACTTGCCCCTGAGCCCCTGACCCCAGACTGCTTTTCCAATAACCGTTCTAAAATACTAACTTGAACACTTCATGTTTGTTCCCACTAGAATTTTGCACTAAGGGCCCTGAGGACCAGGCCCCCATCTCCCGTCCCCTCTGCTAAGCCCACCCTCAACATGCTCAGTGACATACTGCTCCCACCCCTACAAGGCTACACACGAGGCTCTGAGCCCCCGTCACCCAGTCCCAGTTCACTTGGCTAACTGACCTCCACCGTCCACAGAGCTCCAATCCTACTCCCCGGGAGGTAGGGTGCAGGCAGGGGGCATGCCTGATATCACCTCCACCAGAGAGGGCTCCAGGCTCCCTGTGCTCAGCTATCTCAGAGGTGTCTCCTTCACAGCCCACAGACCCCAGGAAGACCCCTCCAGTGTGTGTAGCCCCCAGCACTGTGCTGGACACCCCGAAGGCCTTAAGGGTCTTTGTGGATAGAGGCATTGTCATATTATCATCTGAAAAGGACAACTTTGACCAATGCGCCTAGCACCTCCATTGTACCATCATTCTAAGAACTTCACAGTCATAACTCAACCAGCTCTCTTGACTATCCTCCAAAGGAGGAACTGCTGGCACCATTTTTTTTTTTTAATATTTGTTTTTTGGTTGTAATTGGACGCAATACCTCCATTTCACTTACTTTTATGTGGTGCTGAGGACCGAACCCAGGGTCTCGCACATGCGAGGCAAGCGCTCTACTGCTGAGCCACAACCCCAGCCCCTGCTGGCCCCATTTTACAGGTGAGGAAATTGAGACACACCAAGGTAACTGGCCAAGCCTAGATCTGAGAGGCAAACAGTAGAATTAGCACTCAGACCTGAAGGTGAATTCTCAGAGCATTACAGCCTTGTGCCAGCACTGGGCCTTCCTGGATGAATGAGTGAGCTCCAGAAGGCTGCTTCCAGCACTTGCCCTGCATCAGGACAGCTGGCCATGGCATCTGAGCTGGCTATCCCCACGAGGAGCTTGGCATTTCCAGGCCAACATTCCTGCTCCTGAGGGGGAGGTGGCTGAACACTAAGCTCCACATCTACCTCATCCCAACACTTACTCAACAGACACCTTCTGGATTGAGGGTGGGGGGAGCTGGGGATATGGTTCAGTGGTCCAGCACTTAACTGGCATACATGAGGCCCTGTGTTCAATCCCTAGCAATACGCACACACACACAGAAGGCAATGGTCCTCATGTCCCCTGTGGACCAGCTGTGATAGCATAGCTCACCCCTGCCCATCAGTGGGACACAGTCATTCAGACACCTCATTTGTTCTCCAACCTCACACCATCAGAAATCCAGGGGCTTAGCAAGGCTTCCCAGTCCAGATCCAGGCACTGCTGATCCTCCATCTCCTCTCTCCCTGCACATCCACCAGCCCAAACCAGGTGCTCACTGCCTCGTCCTCCTCAGCCAGCCAGCCAGCCAGTCAGCAGGAGCTTGCTCAAATGACAGACCCTTAGTGGCCTCCTGTTGCTCTCAAATACCACCTTGAACTAGATCTTCCAGCCTCTCTCATGCCATGTTCTACAACTGCCCCGGGGATACGGGTCTTCTTTCTGCCCCCAGAACATGCTACAGCCAGGCACAGTGGTGCACACCTGAAATCCCAGATACTAGGGAGGCTGAGAGGCTGAGGTAGGAGGGTCACAAGTTTGAGGCCAGCCTTGGCAACTTAGCAAGACCCTACCTCAAAACAAAAAATAAAAAAGGCTAGGGATGTAGCTCAGTGGTAGAGTGCCCCTGAGTTCAATCCCCAGCCCCAAAAAAGAAAACAATAAGAACAAAAACAGAACATGCTATGCCTGGATCACCTCAATGACTCCCCCAATAACGGGTTTCTTATGCTTTTGTCTCTTGCTAAGCATTCTGTTCCCAGAACAGGGAGCCCACATTTGGGCTTTCCCCACCTAGCCTAGCAGAACCAGCCCCCAGCCCCACTTTCGTCCACTGTTCTGTTGTGTCTCCCTGGGACAAGCATTCTGACCCACACAGCATTGAGTGTTGTCTGGAAGCAACATGCCCACACAGTAATGGTGTACTTGCAGTGTATACACAAACTGCCTCTGAGGATACTTCTTCAGAATCTTCCTCACTAGGTTACCAGGAGCACCTGGAGCAGCACCTCACACAGAACCCGGCGCTGTGGCAGTGACTGCTCACAAACACTAGTTGAAAGACAGCCCCATCTCCAAACTAGTGGTCACAAGGTTCCTGCCCTGTGACGGGATGCTGCTGTACCACTCCCACCCCTGGCCTGGGCCCCTCCTAGCCACAAAGGCAACTGGGCTGGCTGGGAGGGACAGGCTGGCCTCCACAGATGGAGTGCTGGGTGTATTCTCCCCCAGTGTGAGAGAACATAAAAGCACCCTGCTGCACAGGAAACATGCCTGCACCGTGGGACTCCCCGTTCTGCTCAGATGCCAGACCTGAGTCCTCAGGGACCTGTCCCTAGTTTCTACTCCACTTGATGATGAGGAATGCAACAGGCTGACCTAGCGCCTGCCACCAATGAGAAAACGGAGGACCATTGAAAGGGACACCAATCCAAAGCACACTGGAGCAGGATGCATTTCCTGATCTGGGTGTACCTAGGACCAGCATTATCTCAAGGGACAACCACCAAATTAATCATGACTCTAATTTCCGGCTGAAGCCCATGCAGTGGGAACCAACAAGAAGTTCAACGTGGTGAACACACAGCCTCTCTACATGGAGCAGCAAGGAGGCCAGGCAGGTCAGAAAGTGGCCCAGACACGCCGAGCCACACGCTGTACAGCCCCACTGACGGGAGTGTCCCGAATGGGCAAGTCCACAGACACAGAAAGTGGATTAGTTTTCAGGAATCGGGGCAGGGTGGACAAGTGGGGATAGTTTCCTTTGGGGGTTAATTTTTTTCTTTTTATTTTCTAAAATCAACTGTAAGAGTAAGAAAACGGAAAAAAATAAATTTTGGCAATGGTTCCACAAGGTTGTGAACACATTAGGAACCATGGGTTGGTCACTTCAAACAGACAAACTACATGGCATATGAATGGTATCTCAAAACCGTTACCAAAGGAACAGAAGCTGCTGAGGCGACCACACTGAGGCCAGGCACGGGCTTATGCTACATCCCAGCCAGCCCAGAACTGACAGGGGCCCACTGGCCTGGCCACCATGGCTCTGCTCTGGGGAGCCAATCCAGGTTGCCCCTGCCCCATCTCTCAACACCAACAC